GAGAAATAACATATTAGAGTACAACAGCTGACAATAACAGGCAATCACAATGAGAACTCTGAGGCATCAAAAAGAAAAAGGTAAGAAATAATGTTCCCAATTTCTTGTTTAGAAAATTAAAGAAATGGGAAGATCATGTTTTATTTTCATCATTGAGTGTGGTTAGAATTCTTTATTACTTACCAAGGCTAATATTCAATTTTCTGGAAGATTCATTTATGTAGAACAGCTCATGCCTCTGTAACGTTTAATGAGGTATTAAAATCTATTTCTCCTCAATGCTTGCATGGTAATATACTAAGGTGAACAGGTCAATCTTTCTTTTTTTTTTAAGACAGAGTTTCACTCATGTTGCCCAAGCTGGAGTGCAATGGCGTGATCTTGGCTAACCGCAACCTCCACCGCCCGGGTTTGAGCAATTCTCCTGCCTAACCTCCCAAGTAGCTGGGATTACAGGCATGTGCCACCACGCTCAGCTAATTTTTTGTACTTTTAGTAGAGATGGGGTTTCTCTATGTTGGTCAGGCTGGTCTTGAACTCCTGACCCCAGGAGATCTGCCAACCTCGGCCTCCCAAAGTGCTAGGATTACAGGCGTGAGCCACTGTGCCCAGCCGTTGATCTTTAACTTATAACATATACAGCTAGTGATCACCCCAGATTAAAGATTGACCCCTAATTATATATAAGTACAATAATAAATTTTATTTAATTCATTGATTGAATGCACTGATACTTTCTTCAAAAGCATTCAGATCATGTATTGCATGTGATTTACCTGCTCTAAACTATCCAGTGACTTCTCACCCTAAGAATAAAATATGAACTCCTTACCATAGCCTGTAAATTCCACATATGGCCCTGTCTATCTCTCTGACAATGACTTCTACTGTTGTCTCCCCACTTAATTATTCTGCTTTAGCTGCAATGACTTTCTTAATATTCCTAAAAGACTTCATTCTTGTTTTGGCCTCCTGGCTTTGTATTTTTGCTTATTGGCAGGTTCTACCTCCAGATATTTGCAAATTGTAATCCCTCAATTCATTATTCAGGTTTCTGTTCAAATACCACTTTACAGAGGCTTTCCCTAAAGAATCTATTCAAGTGTCACCCTGCCTTTGCCTCTCCAATCCCTTACCAGGTTTATTTTTTTCCTTAAATTTAGTACTAACTGGAAAGTGTATATTATCTGGTTACATACTTATTGCTTGTTTTCCTTCTAGAATGTAAGCACTGAGAGAGCATGAAGTTCATCTGCACCCCAGCACCTAGAACACTGCTCGTCAAATGTTTAGGACCCAATATATACTTGTTGAATAAATGAATGAATAAACTAATACAGATTTACTAGACTTATAGCATGTTATCATTTGTATTTTTTAAAGATATATATATGTATGTGTGGTCATTCCCAGAAGGGTACACAAGAAATTGATAATACCACTTTCCTCATGGAGGGGAAATATGAAGGTTTGAGTTAGAGACAGGCTTATTTTCTATTTCATGCTCTTTTGTACTGTTTAAATTTTAAACAAGGTCGAGGTATTTTTATTTCAAAACAGACAACAACAATATCCGCTATTAGAATTTACCTTAATCGCGGCAGTTCATTTAGTAACAATAAGCTATATTTTCTATTGAGCTGGTAGCCCACAAATAGATATGTGCTAAACAGCTGACATACTCTAATTAAATCCTCATAACAACTCTATGACATAAACACTGTACTGTCACTCCTATTTTATTGAGAGAAAGTGTAGTACAGAGAAATTAACTGGCTAAAGTCACACAACTGAGGAAGCCCATGACATAAGATACGAACTCAGACTGACTGAATCTAAAGGTCAAGTGCTTAATCACTAATCTCCCTGATGCAAATATATAACCCTCAGAAATTTTCTTACAGAAGTTAAAAAAATATATATATATTGCTTATTTTAGAAATTTTAAAATATTTAATTGGCAAAGATTGTATATAATCAAGATGTACAATATGATGATCTCGTATTCTTATACTCTATGTAATGATTACCACAATTAATACATCTATCGCCATTCATGCTGTACATTAAATGTCATGGACTTATTTATCTTGTAACTTAAAGTATACCCTTTGATAAAAATCTCTCCATTTCCCTCAAAAATCAGTTTCTGGTACTACTCTCTTATATTTGCTTACTTTTGATAGAAACCTCAGGGCCTGGCACAGGAGCTCTTGAACGAATGTTAAAGCTGATTATGATTTCTCTGTACTTGTCAGATATCACACAGTGGCCATTCTCAGTAAGTAAGCTTTTATATAACAATGCTTAGATTCCATAATTAATGGTGATAATTATTAATAATGAACAACAATGCTTATCACTTGAATATGTACACTCTATGTGTAAGGCATTATGGTGAACACTTGACATTCATCATTGCATTCAATCCTATAATAATCACGTAAGGTAGGTTACAGTATTATTTCCATTTTACAAAAACAAAAACTTAGCCTTAGGATAAGTAACTTTTCCAAGATGACGTTAACAAGTGGGGAACCAAATGTCAAACATAAGTCAATTAAGTTAAAGATTCACCACTAATTTTATGAAAGTACTATAATAAATTTTATTTAATTCATTGTATTCACTGATACCTTCATCAAAAGCATTCAGATCATGTTATGCATCACATGGCATTCACCTGTTCTAAAGTCTCCAATGACATCTCACCAGAAGAATAAAACACAAACTCCTTACTGGGTACAAATCCAAAGTTCATGTTAACAACTAGGTTCTACTGGAATCAGAAGAGAATGCTTCCAAACAATGATACATAAGTAAAGTGACAGTAATGATTTATTAAATACAAATTCAAACCTGAATTAGATTCAGATGCAACTAACATTGTATGGGATTGAAGACGATACTCAGCATTATTACTTGAGTATGTACACTCCATGTGTAAGGCATTATGGTAAACACTTGATATTCATCATTGCATTCAATCCTATAATAGTCACCTAAGGTAGGTTCTAGTATTATTTCCATTTTAATAACATCCATTATTATTAAAACCTATCCAGTCTTTATCCATCTTAAAGCTTTCTCTGAAATAGTATCAATCTTGGAGGCACTACTCCCACTAACTTACGACCATCAGGGAAGATAAAAAGTTCAACTAGAGGGAGGGCCGGCACTGACAGCTGAGCTATTTTTTCTTCTTTTTAGTTTTCACAGTTGTCAGCAAAAAGTCACTTTTATTGTGTCCCTTAATTGATTTGGGGTATTTCTATGACGAGACAAGACGCACTTTTAATACAAAAATGTTATGCATTTGTAAATACTTTTCAATAATAGAAAAGAAAGGGCCAGGTGCCATGCCTCATGCCTGAAATTTCTGCACTTTAGTGGGCTGAAGTGGGCGAATGGCTTGAGGTCAGGAGTTCAAGACCAGACTGGCCAACATAATGAAACCCATCTCTACCAAAGATACAAAAATTAGCCGAGTGTGGTGGCAAAATACCTGTAATCCCTGCTACTAGGGAGGCTGAGGCATGCTTGAACCCAGGAGGTGGAGGTTGCAGTGAGTTGTGATCACACCACTGCCCTCCAGCCTGGGCCATGGGCCACAGAGTGAGACTTTGTCTCAAATAAATGAATAAATAAATAGTAGAAGAGATTAATTACTACTATTAAAGGCAGATAATCTTTAAAGTTGTTTTTCTTTGTGATTGTGCTTTGTAGATGATCTTTTCTTACTGAAATAGACAGTGCTTACAAAATAATATGAACTTAATAAGAAGCATTATCTAGTCACTGGATCTCACATCCTCTAGTACCAAAGTTCACAAAAACCTTCCAAAAACAAAACAGGAGGCTGGATATGGTGGAATGACACAATTAGAATCTGTAGGGTGCCTAAATTTCTATGTAATTATTCCATAGTTAAACTATATGTTATACCACAAAATTAGTCCGTTCTGGTCAAATAATCTCTTCTCATATAGTAAACAGCAGTAAGTCTTGGTTTCTCTGTAAATGAGCGACTAATGAGCTCCTAAGAAAAAAAAAAAAGTCCTGCGGAAACCAAGAACAGACTACAGGATGGATTCTCATGTGTTTACAATTTGCCAAGCAGTTATCTCTTCCGTATCTCTTCTGATCCTCGGCAATCCCGTTAGACAGAGCGGGTCTTACCTTGAATGCTACCTACAACTGGGGCTCGGGAGGCGTTCCCGGCTAACCAGTGCAAAGCTAACAGTTCAAGCTCGTAAGCCAAAAGTTTTATGAGGTGATGAACAAAAGCTCCTAGTTTGAAAGGTAAGGCCAGGGGTGCGCTTACGTGTGCGTATGAAACAAAACTCTCCGAATTTGGAGTCCGGAAAAAAAGTTCACACTGCAAGATGATGGACAGTTAAAGTTCTCTGCCAAGGTCTGGGAAAGGGGCCAAGACACCCTTTAAAACTTACGACTTCCTCTCAGAATTTAATGAGGGAGATCGCTGCCCTTCCAGTTGAGCAGTCGAGGGTTACGGTCAAGCAGAGCTATGCTCTTAGCCGGTTCTTCGAATCCCTTTTTCCTTTCACTTTGTCCCCAGGGACCCTGATCCCCCACACCTCAACCCTTCCGTGTCTGTCAAGAAACCCACCTGGTCTTCTAGACCTGAAGCGGCAGGACCTCCGTTACCAATGAGACAAGTCATGAAAAGGAGCGTCCCAGAGACCAGTTTTACCTTCCCGTGTCTCTCACTCACCTCAGGCCCAGGCGAGGTTCCTGCAACCACTTTACTTAAATGTCCGCCTCCCTGCGCTTCAGACTCAACCACAATATTCAAACCCAAGCCAGCTTCCTCGGCACCTCGTTTCATTGGCTGCCGCCCTTGTGATGTCATCACGTCGGACGCTGTGACGGCTCGCGGCAGCCTGGCGCCAAGAAGCTCAGCCTCGCGGCGCAGGGGAAGCCACCTTGCTTACTAGTCACCGTGGCAACGCGCGCGGCCGTTTCCGGAGGAGGTGGCCAAGGTGGGCGGGGCTAGGCCGGAACTGCTGGTGGGAGGCAGCAACCTGAGATCATCAGGCCACCTCTGGACTGGCGGGTGCAGGGACTGGTCCCAGAGTTCAGGGTGTGAGTGAGACTGGTGCGGGCAGGGGTTGGCTTATACCCTCTGCTAGGGGGAGAGGTGGAGTTTGGGTGTGGATTAATGGGTTCTGGGTGTTTCTTTTCTTTTTTCAGAGTAGCGAGGCCTCCAGGAAGTTGTAGGGACCTGTTTCTTCAAGACACATCCCTCTGGGCCAAAATGTGGGGTCTCTTTAGCTGAATTAATTGGAGATACTTTTGGGTTGAGGCCTCAGGCTTCATTTCTCAGGACTTCGAAGCTTACTCCCATTAGTACTGACTGTGAAACTGTATGCTTTTTGGTTGCTTTTTACATTCTCTAATGATGGCATAACAAAATAAATGTATTTAAAGATTTTGGCTTGGTTTGTTATTAGGTGAAGTGATTTTTTTTTTAAGTCCCAGGTTGTAGGTATTATTTCAGAACATACACTTTGAAAAGAGAGAAAATAACTGGAACAAATGGGAAGTATGTTTGCTAAAATAACATCGTTATTTGGCAGGTTATTTTTAATGATAGTATCTGAATTTCATTGTTGTTCTATATATTTCCGTTATTGTATCCATTCAATATTTATTCAGATTTTAGACACACAGTAGTATACAATAGAATCAAACTCTTCCCTCCTGGAGCTTATATTCTGTTGATTCAATATCACTTTATAAATAGGATGACTCATACCCATGCAGAGTATTATAAATGCAACAATATATTGAAACCGCCATATTATGGACATCTATTTCCTGTTGAGGAAAATCGGGAGTATTGTGTATTTTATATGATGCATGCCATATGATTGTTTCTGATCACCAGGCAGAGGATCAATAAAGCTACTAATATTTGGCTGTATTATGTGTATCTTAGCTAATGAAACGGTTATTTGTGTGCTGCTGGGATTGGTAATAAAATCAAGATGCCTTTATTTCCAATAAGCACTCATTGTATAGTACTTTACCTTATGACTTCCCAGGTATTTTATTAGTCACTTTACATACGGTCTCTCGTTTAATTCTCAAAACAGCCCATGAGATATAGATACTATTATCTTCATTTTTCTGAGAGAAAACTGAAGTTTTCAGAAAATCACTGACACAAAATTTTGTCTTGAACTATACAGGCAAGGAAATTCAGAATTGAGTTATTTGTCTCTGAAATACTTTCTGGATTAAGTGACATTAAGAGACTATCTTAATCCAGTTTGAAAACATGTATATTTTGCCAGTTGCTTGTAAAATTGCATGGATCATTGGTGAAGAATAGAAGTGTTTTAAATTTTGTCTTTTTTGACGCCCAGATTGTATAAGGCTTATTAGTGCCACAGATGTTTTCACGCCTAATCCAAGTACTTTAGATTTCAAATTCAGTGTTACACACTTGCCATTTAGCAGTGTTCAGATGATGAGGTCTGTATTTTAAAGGAATTGCATATTTGGTTCAAGCAGAGAGATTTTGACATTACAATCAATGCCACCACTGTGCCACCTTGCTACTTGTAATTTCTAAACATAGAGCTAATGAGACAGAAATTCCCACTTTTAGTTAAAAAAAAAATCGCAGTTTTATCAGAACACAAATTCGATATACATTCATTGTAAACCGAAGAGATAAGGATAAATGAAAAGTTAGATTGAAAGTTGTTTCAGACCAAAAAATGAAAATAAAAAAAAATGAAAAAGTAAATGTGAGTTTAAACATGGCAATAGTGAGGTCTTATTTATTTCCCCCAGGGAAGTCGTTTGGAAATCCCAGCGCCAACAGGACCTTTTGGCAGCCGAGGCTGGAAGCAGCGGAACGAAAGGCAGACGGTCGTCAGTTGCTGGGGCGGACGTGGACCCAAGCTGTCCGTCCTTGCAAGTTTCCCCCAGGATTAGGACCCAGACGTGCGGCAAATTCAGGTTCTCCGGCACCGTAGTGGTAGCCACTGGCCCAAGTTGGAGACCAACTGAGAAGTCTTCGTGCCTCAGGTGAGGAGAAGGTGACCGAGTCTCGGGAACTCTTTTTGGAAACCACCAAACCTTTGGGAGTACTCTCAGGGGTCGCTGGATTCGCCCGGAGCAAAGGGATATATACGCCCCTGTAGCCGCTCTCTTCAACACGCCTTCAACCTGAGTTTGGAAGTTTCCGAATAGTTTTTCCTCGTAAGAGGGTAACTCTTAGGCGAAAGAGCGTATTTTTCTCTTTCCTTAGAACCTCTTTTACTTTCTCAGCGTTCGTGTGCCAGCTTCCACGTCGCGTTTTTGTCCTTAAAAATTACGTTTTCTAACAGGATTTCCCTGCGAGAGAAAACTGCAATGATTATAATTGTTAGCGCCCTTGAGGGAGTAGTCTTCATGGGCATTACTCAACTGTGTGTTTTCACAATTAAAAGAGTAACCTGGCCAATTTTGTGCTCTCAACAGCCAAAAGTGAACTTTTCTTGTAAAGAAAATTTAATGACTCAGCTAGGACAGCACAGAGGGAGTTTTCCTGACTCCCTGCTTCCTTCCTATAACCAGAGGGAACTTAATTTTAAATCATTTAGGGTGGCTGACTCCTAGAAGACTTCAGGAAAGCTCTGAGTTGTCTGGTAGGAAGCTGGGCTCCAAAAGAGAAGAAAATAATTCTCTTTAGAGCATGCCATTCCCCCACCTTCCAATTTTTTGGGGAGGTATTGAAGGCAACAAAAGGAAAACGAACTGTTTGTCACCCTTTCTGCAGGTTGACCCAAATTGGCAGCCAATTAGCTCATAATAAAATATTCAGGCTTCGTGCCTTGACCATAGTTGAATAAACACATAGAAGCTGAATGCAGTAGAAGAAAATTAAATGCAAGTGATAGTTTTTTTTTTTTCTGTTACCCTTTTTTTTTTGTATGGTTGTTATTCCTATTTTAAAATTGATGATACTACTTTTTAATTGTCAAAATCTAGACATACAGGGTAGATTGTTTAAATATTCCAGATTTCACTTTTTAGGCCTGTGCATTATATGTTCATTTACTGGGAACTCCGCAGCATACTGTTATTTTTAAGTGGAGCAGACCCAAGCCACAGGATGTCGATTCCCTAATAAAATGAATCTAATTTATGAGATATTGCAAATATATAGTAAATGTAATTGAAGTACTGTTAAATTACATAAGTGCATTAAATAGTTCCAGTGGACTATGTTTATAGCACGGAGATTGAGTTCCGGCTCTGGGGATAGACTGTGTTACAGTTTTAGCTTTACAGCTCTCTAGCTATGTGGCCTTTGGCAAATTACTAATCTGTTTTTCTCATCTATCAAATGGGAACAATAATATTTCAAGAGTTGTGGTAAGGATTCAATGAGGTGGTGCATGTAGTGTGGTTATAATAGTAAGTGGTGCTTAGTAAGTGCTAAATAAATGTTAGCTATTATTTTGTAAACTGTTAGAAACACTAAGTCAGAGGGTAGTTGAGCTTACTTTTATAAGCGTTCCAGAAACTTTAGGCATAATTAATAATTTGGCTATTTTGTTGCTGCCAAGCATAGAAAAATCTACTTAGATCACTCATTTTTTTTCCCACACATTTTTTCGGTGTCACATTGGCCACATAATTTGGTAGATTACAGCTTTGTTAAGGTTAACATAGTATTCTCAAGGTAACATCTTCTTGATGTTATATTTGTTTTTCTTTCTGTTTTATTACATGTGATCAGCTTTTCAATGTTTTTAATTTTTTTTTTATTGCAAAAGGAAAGACAGATATATTTAAGTGGGATTTATGCTCCTTGTAGTATTTTGAGAACATATGGTTTTTGTTGGGGTCACTCAGATAGGTGAAATTTCCTAAAGTGAGAATTGATAACAATGCTAATTCTGTAGAGTCTGGAATTAATCCATTCATTTGTTTTCTTCAGAGAAACAATTATTAAGCACTAATGTGCATCTTATTTTCTGTACACAAAGGTGTGGATCTTATTCTTAAATAACGAATAACCTGTGAGGAAAGAATAATGTTAACTGGGTATTTACTATGGTAGTATCAAAAACTTTGCTTGAAACTAACTCGGTGTAAAATGCATGATGTTTTCAGAAGGTCTCCTGTTAATATATTTACATAAATACATTTTTTCTTCTGCATTTTAAAGAGTTATGGATTGCTGAAGAAAATGGAGCACGTATGGTAAATCCAAGGACTGTATCGATTATTTGTTTTTTTTGGTGCAGGGGACAGATAATTAAACGTAGATATGAAATACCAAAGTGTGCTCAGTTGAGTGTTTATACAGCTATAGTTTAAACTGATATACATTCCACTGATACAGGATATGGTGAGATGATCTCATCAGAGAATATGATGATTCTGCAAGATTTTCATAGACTGATTAGCTTTTTTTTTTTTTTTTTTGGATATACATGCATAGTCTTTTTCCAGGGATAGTCTTTGAACATGAGAATTTAGCATTATGAGAAGGACAAATAGAGGAGCTTAAAATAAAAGACCTTATAAACCTAAAATACGATACTTATAATCCATTCAGTCATTCTGATTACTTTTCAAATAAACAGTTTTAATTCACTGAATCTACTTTTTAGCCTTAATTAAAATTCAGAAAAGTATATTTTATAAAAATGTTGACCTAATTAATTTTTTAATGTTTAAATTATGTCTCTGCGTCCTCTTACATTCCTCGCTTTGTATATATAAGAAGGGTTAGTCACCTTTACTTGTTTAAGATGTTCAAATGATGAGTCTTCATTTTTTTTTTGATGCACTAAATATTGCATATTAATTTATTTTCCCCAAGTATTAGAACATTCTTTTAAAAAATCCAATCATTTTTAATTTTTTTTTTCCTAGATTTGTTGACCTACAGAATGCTTCGGTATCAATATTTTTGTAGAACGTATAAAGAATATCTTAAATGTTGGTTGGAATCTGGCATACCTAATTTAGCTGTCTGGCCAAAAAGAATACATACTACAGTAGAAAAATATAAAGAATATGAAGCCCATGAGCAAACAGATCAAACTCAAGCCCAGGAGTTACGTAGATCTCAAGACGGAAATTTTGACACTATGGTTAAATTACATATTCCAGTAATGGTGGATGAAGTTGTTCATTGTTTGTCACCGCAGAAAGGACAGGTGAGTTGATTTTTAATTTTTTAACACTTTTTTTGTTGAGATAAACTTTGCATTCATTATTTCAAGATACACAATTCAGTGGCCTTTTTAGTATACAGATGAACCCCAAATTTTGATGGTTGATGTGAAAGTGATACACATTCAGTAGAAATTGTACTTTTGAGTACCATACAACCATGCTGCTTTTCACTTTCATTACAATATTCATATAAATTACATGAGATAGTCAATAACTTTATTATAAAATAGGCTTTGTGTTAGATGATTTTGCCTAACTGTAGGGTAACTGTTCTGAGCGTGTTTAAGGTAGGTTAGGCTAAGCTATGATGTTTGATAGGTTAAGTATCTAAATTCATTTTTGACTCATGGTATTTTCAACTAATGAAGGGTTTGTCAGGACATAACCCCCTTGTAAGTTGAGGAGAATTTGTATTCATAAGGTTATGACCACTATTTAGTTGAGGAATGTGTTTGTCACCCTATTAGGAAACCCCATACCCATTAGTGTTCACACCCCAGTGACATCCTTCACCCAGCCCCTGACAACCACTAATCTATTTTTTTGTCTCTGTGGATTTGCTTATTCTAGACATTTTATTTAAATCGAATCATAGATATGTCGTCTTTTTTATTTGCCTTCTTTTACTCAGCATATTTTCAAGGTTCTTCCATGGTATTGCATGTATCTGTACTTGGCTTTTTTGTATTGCCAAATCATTGCATTGTATGGGTATGCCACATTTTGTTTATCCATTTACCTATTAATGAGCATTTATATTGTTTTTACTTTGTGGCTATTGTGAATAATGCTACTCTGAACATTCTTGTACATGTTTTCTTTTCTTTCCTTTTTTTTTCTTTTTTTTTTTTTTGAGACAGACTCTTGCTCTGTCACCCAGGCTGGAGTGTAGTGGCATGATCTTGTCTCACTGCAACCTCTGCCTCCTGGGTTCAACTGATTCTCCTGCCTGAGCCTCCTGAGTAGCTGAGATGACAGGCGCATGCCACCATGCCCAGCTAATTTTTGTATTTTTAGTTGAGATGGGGTTTTACCATGTTAGCCAGGCTGGTCTTGACCTCCTGACCTGAGGTGGTCCTCCTGCCTTGGCCTCCCAAAGTGCTGGAATTACAAGCATGAGCCACCAGGCCTGGCCTTGTAAGTTTCAGTATGGACATATGTTTTTAGTTCTCTTGGGTATATATATCTAGGAGTGGAATTCCTCTAGGTTTAACTTTTTTAGTCTGTGACTGTTCCTCAGAGTTGATTAGTTTTGTCAAATAACAGTTTTAAAAGAAAAATAACATTACACTGACTGAGTGGTTAGTGTATGAAAACTGAATCCAGCAGAGCTTCTTCAGAATTTTATTTTATAATCCTTTCAGGAATGACTGGAGACAAAGATATGAATATGAATTCCTGTTCCCTGTTTTCTAAGCCTTAGTTTTCAACTACCCTGAAGCAGTAGAGTTCTCCAGAGAAACAAAACTAACAGACAGTTGACCCTTGAACAATGTGGGAATTTGGGGTGTTGACCCCTACACAGTTGAAAATCCATGTATAACTTCTGACTCTCCAACAAATTGCTAATAACCTACTGTTGACCAGAAACCTTACTGAAAACATAAACACATATTTTTTTTATGACAGAGTTTCGCTCTTGTTGCCCAGACTAGAGTGCAGTGGCACCATCTTGGCTCGCCGCAGCCTCCACCTCCTGGGTTCAAGTAATTGTTCTGCATCAGTCTCTGGAGTAGCTGGGATTAGAGGCATGCACCACCACATCCGGCTAATTTTGTATTTTTAGTAGAGATGGGGTTTCTCCATGTTGGTCAGGCTGGTCTCGAACTCCTGACCTCAAGTGATCCAGCTGCCTCGGCCTCCCGAAGTGCTGGGATTACAGGCATTAGCCACTGCACCCAGCTATAAACAGCATATTTCATATGCTGTTTATATTATATACTGTATTCTCACAATAAAGTAAGCTAGAGAAAACAAAATGTTATTAAGACAATCATAAGATAAAATATGTTTACTATTTATTAAGTGGAAGTAGGTCATCATGAAAGTCTTCATCCTTGTCTTCTTGTTGAATAGACTGAGGAAGAGGAGGAGGGATTGGTCTTGCTGTTGCAAGAGTGGCAGAGGCTGAAGAAAATCCACAAATAAGTGGAATTTCAGAGTTCAGACCTGTGGTGTTCAAGGGTAAACCGTGTGTGTGTATGTGTATATACCCATACAGGGGTGTGTGTGTGTATACATATATACATATACCTTAGCATGCATAAACACACACACACACATATTTATATATATATATGCATGTATACACACATAACTCTGCTGATTTTGGTTATACAAGTACTCCACAATTTCCTAAGCCAATATCTTAAGTAAGTCTTTTTCTCTTTATGGACAGAGAGGATTAAGGATTCAATAAGATCTTAGACTATGACCTTACATCATAAGTTAAATATTTAATCTAGATTAAATTAGATAAGATCTAATTAAATTAAAGTGTGATCTCTTTAAAAATGTTAAGTGATTTAATATTCAAAAAGAAAAAACTAGAAATTTTCTGAGATGTATATTCACAAGAGAAGAAAGTATAGTAAATTGTCTTCAATTTTTAGAGATAATATAATTCTTATATTTCTTAGTGTACTGACGTCAGAAATGTGATCCCTTATTCTAGAAGCTACTGTTTTTATCTAAATCAGTTACTTTTATGTCACACCTTTCTTCTTTTTCCAACATATAGCTTAGTGGTTAAGAGCAAAGATTCTGGAACTGGATTGCCTGGGTTTGAAGCTCTTGTCTAGGAAACATGTGCATGTGTGCACACACCCAGCTTTTCATTTTTCTGAAATTTTCATGTTGGATCAGACAGTTTTCATGAGCTAAATTTAAGCTATATGCATAAGGTGTACTACAACGACTGGATGCTGTTCATACAAAATCCATCAGTGATATGATATGGGTTGCTTCATAAAAATATTGTTTACCTTTTCCTCAGACAGTATACCTCTAACAAAATAAATGTAGCATTCTTTTTAAAAATTTTTAAAATTTTAGTTGTTCTGGAGAGAGAATCTGTCTCTCTCACTGAGGCTGAAGTACAGTGGTGTGATCATTAACTCACTGCAGTCTGAAACTCGTGGGATTAGGTGATCCTTCCTGTCTCAGCCTCCTGAGTAGCTGGTCCTACAGGTGTGAACCTCTGCACCCAGCTAAACCCAGTATTCTTAAATGAATTTATGTGTACAAAGTATTTAGCTCAATGCTGTCATGTAGTGGGACTCCAAATATGCATGAAAATGTAAATTAAAATATTAAATTGGATAAAACTTCTTGTTGAATGTGACTTCATCAAAATGAAATTCTCTTGGTGTTTTTGAAAAGATCCATAAAGCAGGGATAACAATTAAAATCCATACATAACTGTGAGTTTTAAAAAAAGTATATTGAAATATATATGATATATTTTAGTGTGTATATATATACATACATAAATATACATATGGATGCATACATATACATATGCACCTACATATACGTATATATACATCTATATATGCACATACGTGTACATATATGTGTGTATGTATATATATGTATGTGTGTGTATATACACGTATATATGTATATACACGTGTGTGTGTGTGTGTGTGTATGAAAGGGTAGGGCAGTTAGTAAAAATTGGAACTGAATTCAGCAGCTTGAACTTGTCCCTGAAACTAAAAACCAAAGTACATTGTATTAATTTATTAAACCCTAGTAACAAAGCCAAATGCTTATTTTGCACTAACCCACGGACTAGAAAAACAAACAGAAACACACTGTGTTACGTCTTCTAGCAAATCAGTATAGTATACAACTTTTTCCTAAAACCAAGTGGAATAAAATTAGATGATTGTACAACTTGACCTACACTGCTGTTTCATTCTGTGCAAGTACCTGACAAATGTAATGTTGGTTTATTTTGACATTTTCCTTGTTCTGATTTGAGTTGGGTTTTCTAGTAACTTTTTATAGAAAGTTTAATTTTATCAATGTTATATCTGAAAACTTTCTTGTGAGGTACACTTAGAGACAATGTTATTTCTTACCTTTTCTGCTGTCTGGCAGACAGCTTTATTCACCATTCCCTTAATCTTCAAGGAATAAAGAACTGGTGACAGTCCTTAGACAGGAAAGGTCTTCATTTCATCCATAATCCATTATTTGCTTCTCTTCTTCCCAAGTCTTTTCCCAAAAATCATTTTCCTTTGCAAACTATGAGTCATACACTCACTTGTATCAATCGCTTACTTACTATTACCGTTTTCCACTTCACCTTCAATGGTGAATTTCCAGATGAAACTTTTGATATAACAGTATTAAAAAATATCTGAATGCAAAAGGCCTGCCACATGATGGCTTTGTAGTTATGTTTTAATTGAATGAATAAAAGTCAAAGTAAACTAGAAGACAGATGTGAGGCACCAATAAAAGGAATGTCCCCTGGGTAGTGAGGTAGCTTCTCTGGCTCAAGACTTTTACATCATTTCAGTGTCAGTGTGGCAGGCCAGGTTTGATCAAGTAACTGGAGAAACTGATGAGAAAACAGATAGAAAGGCTGAGAAAATAAGTTGGCTCTTAAACTGAAGCAAAATAGATTATGATGTCAAATAGGCTAAGGTTGCTGGGTTTGGTTTATAAATGTTTCAAAGTAAGTATTTTACCTATTTTAAGTTATGACATTTAGTATTACTTTTTATAATTGTTAGATTTTCTATAGTTGTTACAGTACCAACTTTGATAATTTTCTTTATTAAATGCATTATGCTCTGTACAATGGAATTTTCTTAAGATTTGTAGCAGTATTTTACTTGTTTTATTTAAAAATGTTTGTAATCTTTAATGGAAATGAGACGTCAGAGAGAAAAATACTAAAACTATGTGTTTTCTGTCTTTAAATACTGAAGGCTGATGAAAGGAGTTTGTTTGGCCCTAAATTGTT